TATTATTATTATTAATATGATATTAATTATTATTATTATTATTATTATTAATATATTATTATTATTATTATTATGTGTCAGCAGGGAACAATATTCCTTAATTTCTGGATTTTTTAAAAATACTTTATTTCTAGAATACCAGAATATAGCACAGTATAACCGAATGCTTATAGTATATAACAAGATGAACAATGGTTCAAACATTGTGACAGTCATGAAGAAAAGTTTTGATTTAATTTATTTATACAGCATTGTATACAGTGGAAGTGTGAATATCGGCCTTTAAATCCAAACAAACTAAACCCAGAGCTAAGCAAATTTAAGTCTGAACTATTTATGTCCGAATATCTTTATTTCATGGTAACTTCCTTTAGCCTGGACTAGAGGAAGCTCTTGACAACGTCACTGTGGTTACTAACTTAGTACCACTGAGTCTGTGGTGGGGGGTAAGTTTCAGTGGAGCAGCTGACAAAAGAAGGTTTTGAGAAAAGTTCACAGATTTAGATTTCACAGATAGACGCCACAGGAATGTTTTTCTTCAGCGGTTTCTGTGTACATTTACAACAAGTAGCCACACGGAGAGAGTGCAGCTTTGTCAATGATTGATTGATTTTTTTCTGCTTGACAATAAAACAATATTTAACAGTATTTATAGTAATGTGTAAGATGGTATGACTGCTAGTAATATTAATTCATACTCATTTAGCTCTGCGTTCAGATTAAAGAGCTGCAAAACAACAAACCTTTCCGCAGATTAATTCTCCTCTCATGCTTTTCGATTAGCAAAGCCACGTTTGTGAAGGTCACTTTATTACTATGCACAAAGATCCATTGCTGAAGCCACGTGATCTTCACAAACTCTGGCCCACGTACCCGTCTGTAAGACTCAACCTGACTGAACCTGACAAACCGGTTACTGCTAAATTATAACCTGTAGTCTATCTGTTTTATATTGAAAAAAAAAAGGCTGCTATGGTCATGCAAAAAAGGCTTTCCCACAAATATTTATTGCCATAATATATATTAAGCCTAAATGGTTTAAGCACAAAACACAAGTTGGCTGTAACAGGCTAATGATGGCTTGCTAATTGAATCTGTCAGCGTGTGATACTCTCCACCGTTTGTCTTACTGTACCTGGTAGTCACAGCGCGGCTTTCCCAAATCTGGTCAGTTAGACATTTATCGTAAGCTAAGAGCAGTTCAGTCATAATGCAGACCAGAGCCGCAGGCAGGGGTCGTACAAGGTCGTAATGTTCCCATAACGACATCCCAGAATCACTGGGGACTTTTGAGAAGCTCCCCTTCAGCACATTAACCACACTCTCTGTCTTTTGATGTTTTCACGCTGGAAACACGTGATGCACTCAGACACTCAGACACAGAGACACAGAGAGAGATAAGAGAAGGTGAAAATGTTTGTAAATTACGTCTGAAAATAACCGAACCGAAGTAAAACAACCCCAGCTCCACCTGAGACCTGATACCTGCAGATCTATTGCAACCTAACTGTACTATACTTTCTAGCACAACAGTGGATTCTGTTCTTCTTACTAACACTAATACTAATCCACTCGTCTTCTTTCCTGCCCTCCGCCTGCGCGTTGCTGCATGTTCTGGGGCATTACCGCCTCCGGTAGATCAGTGCAAATAGTGTGACGCTATTGGCAGGAGTGTGTATTGCGTCACACTCGTGCAGCATGTGCAGCCATATAAAATCAGCTCCGACTCACTGCTAGTGAGGCTTCATAGTGTAGCTCATTTCTGATTGGTTGATCAGTCTCTGGTTTCCCATCTGGAGCTAAAGCAATCCCTTCAAAATATGTTCACAGAACAACCCGGTCCTGCAAGTTTTCCTTTAGAGCTAGTGTGCATATTTCAACAACATCATGTGACCCTTCCACATCTTCATGTCCGACACAGATTTATTGCCAGTACCTGTGCCCAGAGTCTCCACGTTCAGCCAGGCGTCGGACGAAGAGCTCAGCCCAATGCGGTGCTGGAGAAAGTGTTTACATCCATCACGAAGGTTTGGTTTCTTTCTTGGCCTCTTATTTCTCTGTAAAAGAAGCATTTATGTAGTGGCGTGTCAGTATTAGCTGATATCAGGATCATTCAGAAGAGGACAGAATTGGTCAGAAGAAATATGCTGCCTCCACAATATGACACTGTACCCATTAAATTTAGTGTAGGAACGACTGATGTTTAGGCTGATGTAAGCATTCGATTTTCTGCTGAGTTTAAAGACACTTTCAGAAAATCCGAGTTTCACAGTCGACTTGGGTTTGACGTGAACACAACACAAATCAGAAACCCCTAATTATGAAATCCCCGATATGACGTGGACACGCAGTCCAAACAGTTCAGTACTCTCAGTATTTATAGAGGTTTGTGACTAATACAAATGTTCAGTCAACGACATGATACAATAACATGGTGGAGGAAATATCAAATATTAGTGTCAGCTTCACAAACTTTTGCATTTTACCCTTCAACATTCAAAAACTGTTACCATATCACAACATATTTCCCCAGAACAACAGTACACACTCTACAAGACCAACACCAAACCTGCCTGACATGAAACCACATGCAAGAGTTCAGTGGAAGCTGTTATGTCCTGGTACTGAATTTGCATTTTTGTGTTTCACTGGATGGACAGAGGGGTCAGGTGATTAAGTGGAGGCTAAATAAAATCATTACTGCTGTCACATGGATTTTGTTTGGCGGACTGAAATCCCATTGAAGGAACTGAAGTCGGGCAAAGCCGAGTATGACGAAACAATTACGCAAGAGCACATTTCTGTCCCGATTGTAACGTTTGCAGAAAGTGTCTCACTTCCATCATTGCACATGTGACTTCACATCCTCTAGTTGAGATAAAAGCCCCAATAGTGGATTACTATCAACTTACAATATGTTAATGCTCGGACAGGACCGGATACACTTGTTTCTTCTCTCTCTCCACAGAATCCAGACTCTCGCCATCTGGACGGTCTGTCCAAGCAGCTGGACTGGGAGGTGCGAAAGGTCCAGCGTTGGTTCAGACACCGCAGGAACCAAGATAAACCCAGCACACACACTAAGTTCTGCGAGAGCATGTAGGTTTATACCTATTGTCTGCAGGTTTGAGCACACAATGGTTGTGTTTTCTGTGCAGGTGCGGTATGATAACAGATGTGTGTATGTGTGTGATTGCTATCTTTGTGAGGACAAAAAAACCCCAAAACATTTTGATGAGAACATTTTGGCTGGTCCTTGTTTTTTTTTAAAAGTTTCTCACATCCCTTCTGTGC